ACATATGAAATAATTCAAAGCATTACAGTCACGATCGTTCCAATAAAATCTGTCTGTAATTCCACTACCTTTGTTTGGGTATGGAAATTCATCTCTTAACTCGACACAATCTTGCTGTGACAAACCGTCATCGCTAGGTTGAGCATTATAGTTTTCTCGGTTTTTCCAACCGGGAAACCAATCTGTAAACAATAATTATATGAAATATCATCATTTTTATTTATACATTTCTTTTTCCTACTAAATAAAATAGATCTGTAATTTCAAGAATATATTAATCTATGATATTTATTGTCTTACACGCATTAAATTCAGCTATTTTTATTGAGAACGTGTTTGTGAATTCTGATAAAATACTATTTATAAAGGAATATTGAATAAATTAGATATATATATATAATATTTTTTCAGGTGAATCATATTCGTTAATAAAATAAATATGGCTTAGTTTTGCATATATCTAGTAATAAATAATCAATGAAGTTCGTATTCAATGGTGATAAATGTAAGAAGCCAAGTTACAAACAAAAAAAAAATCTTCCAATAAATATCAAATAAATATTACACCCTATATTATATCAGAATTATTTATTGCACTAAGCTTAATTGAAAAAAGTGAATTAGATAAAACAACAATACTCTCTATATAATAGTAATCTCGATATAATTAATTAATTAAATATTTTTCAGAAATTTAAAAATTTTTAAAAATGAATGAGTAATTACAATGTAAGATAAAACTTAAAATAATTTTACATATTTTATCTTTATTTTAAAGTGGAAATTTTGCTTTTGATTATTGAAGAAAGCTATTAACATTGTATCAAATACACACGTAAATAAACTGTAAAATTTAAAGTTAATACCTAGTATATGAAACACAGTAAAAAGATATTAAACACATACAAATTAATAATATTTAAATGCTAATATAAGTCAATAGGATCTAAGAAAAATATTTATAAAATCAACAATTGAAATCATCTATCATATCCTTTTTTCTCTTATAACGTCTACATTTAAGGCTAATTTTAATTAAATAGTTTATAAATTTAAGCAAAGACAACTTCGAAAAATAAACATACGAATTAAAATAGTTAAGAATATTATTTACTTGAATAGATGAACTGTTGCTTGTCGGCCCAATTATAATAATTTTCGTAGGTCATATCATTGGCACCAATCCAAAAAGAATGCACCGAACCATACAGGACACTGGAAATTGAAAATAAATATGAGATATTACCTCGTAAAGACATCAATGTGGAATACATTAAAAAATGCACATTATTTCTGGAATAATATAAATGAATCATACAAATTTATACACATTTCTATTAAATTAGCTTTTAGTTTCGCGAATGGAAGAAATTCTCAAAACTAATGCTTATTAATTTAAGATTTATTTCGTATTTTTTTAAAAATTAAATCTACAAATAATAATTAATATTTGGGATTTTTAAAAGTAAACAATTAAATAGATTTAAAAAACAGAGAGTCTATACATCGCGTTTTAAATTGGAAAATCTTTTACGAGGTAATTAAATTTAATTGTAAAAAAATAAATCAAATAAGTAAATTATAAAACAAGGCTTTTAGAAAATTTTAAATTATTTAAATTTATTGAAAATAAGTAGTTTTAATCCTGTGGGGACACAGGGAATTATTTTGCACAGGTTTCCACTTTCAAGGTTTTATACGATAATGGATAGATTAACGTTAACAAGTAAGATCACAATCGCGTAAAAATTACGTCCAAAGACAGCAGTTGTCTGGGAGAAGTACAGCACTTTTGCATTTACTACCTGTGCCGTTGAAAGCCCTTCTGATCGGGTTCACTCAATTAAGTGCTTTACTTCTCCAACAGAAATAAGCGTAAAGCAAACACTGATTAATAGTAAATAAATGAATAGATAATTTTATCATTTTAAATTGTCTCGAAAATATATTGTTTAACAATAAAACTCGTAAAAAATAATTTAGCTTACATCACAGTTACAAATTATGCTTCACTTAAGTACTAAATTTTATAATACAAGAAAATATTTTAAAGTGTTTTAAATGGTTATAAAGTAGTGAAAAATTTATTGTATGATTATTTATAAATAATAACATTATATAAAGAAAATATAACTTATATAATGCTATAACTTAAATTAAATCGATTTAATTTGTTTCAATATTAAACTGATTCTCACAATTCACAGTTGATATGAAGTTAAAAGAATGTATGTAACCAATAAAAGTTTTTGAAATTAAAAGTTCAATTCAAAATCATTTGCTCACATAATAATTGATTCCCAAAATAAATTTTTTGGACTGTTTATATGTGATAGGCCTATCGGCCTTCTTTGATTGATCAAGGTTGTTTAATGTGAGCGACATAACCAAGTTGTCAAGTTGATAACAGACAGTCTTTTATTACATAAAGGATGGCAAAATTCATTTTTTACTACATGATGGATGAGTTTTGTATTGACAAACTACTGCTAGAGGCTGAAATTTTTTCCATAACGTTGCACTTTAAGCCAATTTCCAATACAGTCAACCCCCCCATAACACTGTTGATTATTCCGTTTTATATGAATTCCATGTTGTACGAGTCACTTAAATTTTACAAATACGTGAGCCGTTCATAGCCCAGCACACGTATTTGTAAAATATAAATAATTCGTACAACATGGAATTCATATAAAACGGAATAATCAACAATGTTATAGGGGGTCGACTGTATAATTATTTTAATCGAAATTATTTACAAACTGACTTTTCAGAAAATAATTCAAATAATAATAATTTACTTATTATTTCCATTTTTAATTACAATCAAAATTTAATAATCTGTGTTAAGTATTATTTAAACTTATATTATTTGAATTTATATTTATTTAATCTGGCTGTGAAAAATTATTATAAGAAAGATAAAAATTAAATAATTTAAATAAAGTATTTTTAATTAATAAGTGAAATTGTTGAGTTTAAATAATTAAGAATTATAATACTTAAAATATGCTTTAGTATTGATGAGATAATTGTAAATAACAGTTCAAGAGTTATAAGAAAAATGAAAATCGCATATCTTTAATTAAAAATAATAAAAACATGTTTAAAATACTAACGCTTCTATATTATATTATGTAACGTAATAGAGAATATTTTATTAGGAAAGAAATGTATACTCTACTATCGCGCTGTCTCCGAAATCTCTCTTCATATGAAACGAATTTATTTATAAAACATTACAGATATGTTTTTTTAAAAAAACCAATTAAATTTAATTATTATTACATAATTTCTTTACGTTAATCTTATACGTGTTAGAGATAATATTAGTTAAATTTTACAATAGTTCACTTACCTAGATTTAATAATTTCTTCGATTAATCGACTAATATCCTCTCCAGTTACACTAGCCAAATGTCCATCTCTTTCTTGACACCATAAATCTGCTTCTATCCACGATAAAGGCTTATCCGAAAGACGATAACAATATCTTTCTCCAGAGATCCAACCATACTCACAGGATGTATAATTAGCATTCACTATCACGGCACGATAATTTATGCAGATACCTCCCAAGTAGTCTGCATATAATGGAGTTTGTATGGACATGATTAATTCGAAATTATTACCTATGGAACGATAACTTGGATATTCATCGCTTCCCGTCCAATTACCACATAGAGTTGCTAAAACACTATTACTCGATTTTAGTATTACGTAATCTTGATCACAAAACGTAGATTTATGTGAGCTTGAAGTTACTATCCTAGTGAATTGCACTTCCAATTCGTATCCTAAAGGCACGTGAAAAGTGTACTTGCAATTACGATCGACATAGTAACCACTTGTGCATACATCACCTGTAGAATTACTGATTGTGGTATTGATACATGGACTCATTTGCTTGTAAGAGAAACGATACCTCATTACAGTAGTTGTAACGTGATAATTAATGTTTAAAATATTACTTGAAGATAGATAATTTATTCTATTGACATTATGACATATAGTCATCTGTCCTGTTCTATATACAGGTGATATCTGTACATAATCCTTATCACAGTTGTTCAAATTTCGAAAATATAATTCTTCAATAGTTAGCACTATCTTAGAATTGGAGGGTGTTACAATTCTATCGCTACAATATTGATTAGGTATATAATAACCAGGATAATCTGGACTGGTAATCACACCTTTACTATTCTCATATGTTCTATTACAATCTGGAAAATAAATTTATAATNTGTAATTAATATTTTGAACTTTCAAAATTTTCATTTTGTTATAATTTTCTTTTCGCAAAAAGTTTGTAATATTTGAAAATGTCGTACACCAATTCAAACATTTTTCGAATAACGACGACACACGTAACATCACATATTCGAGAATTAAGCATCTGCTGGATGGCAAACGATAACGAAATGTTAATTTCGCCATGTTAATCGACATTTAACGACCTTTCCTCCTACGTTAGAATCGTTTAAAATTCCAAAAAAAAAAAAAACTAAGTAGTAAACGAGCAAAAATTATAGTGACATCATCACAATGCCGGGCTGCAATTTTTAACCATATTTTAATTTATAAATTAACCTTTAGCCTGTAGGCTTTCCGTATCTGGTTTCGATTTTTATTTATCTAACCCCATTCTCGAAATTAACGAAGGACGGACGAACAGACAGACAACATCAGGAATCTATAGGTTTTTTTTTTGAAAATTGCAGCCCAATAATCCACGTCTATTCGCAATTTAAAGATTTAAGATATTTTTAAACATAAATTTTTCCAAAATTATAAACACTTTTATGAAATTTTCTGCCTAATTCTATTGTATTTAAATTATACAAGTATATTATGATTAATTTTCTAATTTTTTAATTATGTAAAAGCTGATTAATTATGACGCCTATTTCGATTATATTTTTAAAAATTTATGATTGTAAACTATGTAATATATATATATATGCATTAACTATAACCAGAACGTAGAAGATACTTACTTGAAAATAAAAATACTTCTATTCTAAATCCCGTATAACTATGAGAGAAATCGGCCACAAAAATCAAACGAACTGAATTTGTAATACTGACGTGTCGTAGTAATTTTATTCTTCGCCTCCAATCTCCACAATACCGTCTTTTGAAATCATCTCCATCTTCTAATTGAAGAAAATCGTATTGGCAAATACAGGAATCGGCATTATTACAACTATAATTAGAGGAATTTTAGTTTTAGAGACATTTATCAATGAATTTATTATTCTATTTAGTTTTAATTATATTAGTGAACTGGAGGAATAAAATTTATTCATTTATTAATGAATTCATAGTATGCCATTAAAATTCTGAATTGTAAAACTGTTAAAGAATATTGAATTTTATATTTCGTAAATTTAAATTACTAATAACGAAAACTGAAATACTCTACCATTTGTACTTACATATACAGTAGAACATCCAATTATGACCACCTCCAAGCAATGGACATTTTTTATGTTTCCTGGTCCATGATCGTGGGTTCGAGGAGCACCAAAGGGATGGTCGCATGGAGTTTTCCGGATTTTCTGCATGTGTGCCTAATATATAAATAGGTGCCAGTTTCTCATAGAAAGCCTTCCAGGGGATATACTCTTTGGCAGATCGCCCTTGTGTTGCGCTGCCTTATCCTAACAATCTAATCTTTTATGTTTTCGTCAGTGTCCGTCGTTCAGAGGTTTGACCGTATTTCCATTTGAGATTACTTAAAAGCTTTAAGCAAGCATTCACGTTTCTTAATAAACTTGTGTGAAATCTTTACTTTAAATATTATATCACATTTAGGTTTATTATATAATTATATTCATTAAAGATAATTCATGAGAAATTAGAATAAATTGATATGTGAAATACATTATATATGTGTATTATATTTATATCCTGTACATTATTTTATTTGTATAATCTTCTAAACCAATACGTAAGATAACAATTAACTTGATCTTGCTATATATAAAAACTTATATAAATAGAATAATATTTAATATTATGAGTACTAGATTGTCGTTAATATAATAGATAATTTATAGTTTATATTTAATTATCACTATTATAAATTAGATATAATACCAATATCATATCTGATTTATAATAGTAATAGTTAATAACAATATATACATATAGTACTATAAATGTTTCCTGTCATTTTGTATTAATCTATACTAATAAAACCGAATGGTTTCAATATGAAAATTATGTTCAATATTGAATTATTATTAGTCAAACACTGACGGGAGAATAAAAAAAATGGGTGTTTTTGCAGGTGGCCACTGTTTGAAAATTATTTTGTATACATTTTTGTTCAATAAAAGTTCATGAAAGAATAGCCGTTGCTGGGAAGTGGCTCTTATTAGAAGTTCCACTGTATAAAAATAATTTAAAACATATACAGATCTTAATAATACTGGCTTTTCATATATAAAAATAATCATTTTTCAATATTTTACACACAGTAATTATAAAGATGTAACTGATAGGAAAGAATAATAGATTTTAAATATTTAAAAATTATTTGTTTTAATTTAAAAAAAATAAACTATTTAAAGTATTTATAGAAAACAAATATTTATTAAATATGAAATAAATTAAACACTGAAAACATTTTAAACCAATTTATAAATATTATTATTATAATT